AAAATATGATGATCGGAAATTGGAAAATGGGTATCCTATACATCTGAAACTTCTTGATAGTACCTCGACCTGCCGTTGCAGAGACTGTACATAGTTTATGATCTCATCAAGCATGACTGCCTTGCCAGTAACCTTTATTCATAAAATTTATAAAGTCAAAGACCAAGTCAAATAAAAAAAATGTAAAACACCTTTCCATTCAAAAAAAATAAAAAGGGGGAAGGAAAAGTCATGTAAACTATTCAATTTCATATTGTTACCTTATTGCATCCAGGAACAAGGTCTTGAAGGAATTTCATGCGTTCACTAATCTTCTCTCTTCTCACCTTTGAGATTGAATTGAGACTAAGGGCTCAGTATTTCAAAAAATTTAATCTAAAATAAAAAATGCGGAGATGAAGGATTATGAAGAGAACAGCTTACCCTTTCTGCAAGACTATGGCTATTTGTGGCCTGGCCTCTTCTCGCTCTAACATGGATGTAATCTTCCTTGGGTGTATCAGGATTTTGGGAATGATCTTTCTCTTGTTTTGCAGCGGATTTACTAGCATTAGGATTTGGGTTTTGATCACCACTTAATTTAGCATCTACACTTTCATTAGGGATGTCTGAAGATGCATTTAAGGCACCTTCCATTTGGTCTTCAGCCTACAATATGAAAGGCAGGGAAAAGCAAGAAGAAGGTTTTCTATCACTGAAATGAACGATTAATAAGAAATCAAATAAGGCGAAAACTACACAAGAATTCAGAAAAAGAAATAATTTAGAGCTCTGGTTCTCATTGAATCCACACACGCACAACGCACACATGCACACACTCACACTCACACACACACATGCACACACGCATAAACACTCACACTTACACACACACATACAAACTCTCTCTCTCTCTCTCTCTCTGACATATGCCACATTAGTTGTATGCAAGGGTGAGAAAAGAAAATGATAATGAGACATAAGAAGCAGTCTACCTGAGTACTCCTCTTCCTTTTCTTTAAAGTCCTTGACATGGAAGCATTCTCCACGCTCGATGGTCGCTCATCTTGGCCACCACTAAACTCCGCACCATCTGATTCATTATTCGTCGCCCCAATTGCCTCTCTCTCTTCATCACCATTCTTTTGTGCTGAAGCCATTAACATGCCTCCAAAATTTGTCTCACAAGCCTCAATTGAAGTATCAAGAGGCCTAGAACTGCTTATTTCTCTAGAAGCCTCTGCACCGTCCATTTTGTTATTCTCAGTTTGAGCACCATTAGAGGCCAATGTAACTGTGTTATGGTTCAAAATTTCAGGCATTTGATTTTGAAGCCCCCCATTTTTTGTATACGACATAACATCAGGAACACTAAAAGGGGTAATTATATCAGAGAAATTTCCATTGAAACAAGAGAACCGAGCCGCTCTTTCCACAAATGCAGAATCAGTGGAAAATTGGGCTAGGGTTTGAGGGGCAATTGGGCCCCCTGTTGGAATAAAAAGACCACCCTTCGGCATAGAATTCAAGGGGTTCCAACCCATTTCGAAACCTCTTTCGACACCAATTTCTCCCTCTGTGGCCAATTTGGGGGAACCACTAACAATTTCTCTCATGGCTGTGGCATTAAGACTAGAGCTACTGGTTTGCAAGCTGTTTTCATGGAATGTCAGATTGTGTGCCATTGTAGAGTGAGAATCCCATATGTGGGGGTTATCAGAGGAGACCATGTTTAAAGGTGGGATTGGGAATCTCCACATAGGAGGAGCTGTGGAGCTTGGATAGTCCAAGTGATCAGTGTTTCCCTTGTCTAACCCAAATTTATCTTTATCACTTGAATCCATGTTCCTCTTAGAAACAATGGCAAGAATACCAGTTCAAATCAACTAGTTTTTAGCAAAGATCACAGTCTTTTAACACACCAACAAATGACACTAAGGACTTAATGGCATTCAATTCAGCTATGCAACTCAAGAATGTAAGGGTTCATCAGGGGAATGTGCTGTTCTGACTTGATCAAGAGATGAATTTTTGTGGTAACCACGAGGAGAGAGAAAGGTGACCATAGTTTTTTAACCTCGTTTAGGAGAGTTTGGATTCAGAACAGTGAAAAGAAACAACCAGAGAATCTATCGTCTTGAATATCTAGAGAGAGAGACAGGAGAGGGGAGGAGAAAGAAGGTGAGTGCAGTGCAGATTATGAATTATTGCAGTAATGAGCAGAAGAGAGAAAGCGTTTAACCTCACTGAAAAGCGTAAGAATCAAACCTCAGCAAGGTAAAACAACAAATATGTTGCTTGGAAGCGATAACTGACCCTAGAGAGAGAAAGAGAGAGGAGGTAGGAGAGAGAGAGAGAGCTATTGCACAGTAATAGGATGATGAATTCTTGAAGCAATCAACAAGGAGAGAGAAACCCAATTGTTGTAAGAACCAAAATCAGTTAAAGAGCCTTTCAAGGAATGAATACAACAAGTCACATAGAATGGAAAGAGAGAGAGAAAGAGATAAGTCAGTAAAAGTGGCAAGAGAAAACCAAGTAACAGGGAGAATGAGGAATGAAATAGAGCATAGCGATAAGAGACTTGATCCTATATTCAGTACTAACCTCCATTGGAGCTTTACTTGAAGTGGTTTGATTGGGGTTTTGTAATGGATTCAGGGGCTACCATTTCTGGGGCTCTGAAGCAGAGAATCAAATCATATAAGGGCTCTGGCCATTGGAACCAGAAAGCTGAAAACTTTGGGGAAAAAAGAGAGAGAAAATAGCGAAGGTTTCGTATTTATATCCACGCCTGCATCAGTAACCGAGCCCTTGAATGATTAACCACCGCCACTGCCTCTGTAAAATATTCGTCAAAACACCAGCTTTACTCACTTTCTCTCTCTAAAAATAGACGAGCGAGAAAACCCATCTCCCCGTTTTCCCTTTTCCCTTTTCCAGCGTTGATCCTTAGTTTTCTTTATTAGTGTTTCATCCTTTCTCTCTCTAGGTTCCCTAACATTTTCCTGGTTCTGTCAAGTTTTTGCTTCACTTTTTTTCTCCAGGTTTCTTTACCAAATCTGATAATTAAATTTTTCCACAGTTTCTCTCTCTCTAGAATTGTTCCCCATTCCTTGACTTATTTCCCCAAGCTTTTATTTTAACTTCTCTCTTTCTCTCTCTAGCTGTCTTCTTCAACAGTCGGCCTTTTCCTGTGTTTTTTAAACTTCTCTCTCTTCGATGTTTGTGATTTGAGGGATTGGCAGTGGCAAGTGACAGAGAATTCAGGGATTCATGGGAGCGAAAGTGATCTTTCAGAGTCCTAGAGAGAGAAAGCATTGAATTTTTGAGAGCTTAACTTTGGTCAAGATCCGGGAGAAGGGATCTCCAGCTGCCAATACCATGTACGGCACACACGATGAGGCCATTTTCATTCTTTACAAAGAGAGGGGTTTATGCTCCATGCGCACAATTCGATCCCTCTCTCTCTCTCTCTACAATAACCTCTACAATTAGGGGTGGCAATGGATCGGGTCGGATCGAAGCAGACCTAGATCTAAATCCAGGTTTTTGACCCAGATTTAACTTGTTAGGTTCGCAAGTTAAACCCATGCCTGTGCCCGTTGGGTCTAGTCGGGTCAATCGCCATCGAGTTTTTGTTTTTTACCTTCATATATTTACAATGAATCCATTTGCCCTATATAATTTTTTGTGAAATTCATTTATCTTTTATGCAAGGCGGTCACAATTATATCCAACCATTCGATGTGAAATATGATAGCTTGGGTGTATCAAAATATTCGAAAAGATTTTTTTTGAAGTTTGAGTTTGGTCCATGGAATAAATTCAACAATTTAATTTTATATCCAATGACAAATATTAATTATAAACACCTTGTACAAAAGATAAATGGTCTCATTGTATATTTTTCTTATCTATCGTATTGGCTACAAGGTCACAATCACTTGCCATTATATTTCAAGTTGATATGTCGTTTGATAGCTAAAAATAACTACGAGTTCTTATTATGTACGATCTTTAATAAACCCAAACAAATAGGACTTGAAGTATTTTATCCCTAACAGTTTACAGGTATAAGTACGGGTCCAAACGGCCGGGATCTATACCAAAGTAGTGTTCAAGTTAAAAAACTCTGGACCCAAGCCATGAATCCAAATGTTGAACCCATACCTAAACTTGTGTCGGATATACCCGGGTGGGTTTTGGATCTATTGCCCCCTATCTAACACCCATTTGCATTGTAGCCCTTACGACTTGGCATTCAACTTCTTGTGGTTCAAATTTTTGTTCTCTCTCTCATCGACTCGTTGTGGTTTGAAATTTTTTGGTTCAAATTTTTGTTCTCTCTCATCTACTCGCTGTGGTTTGAAATTTTTTGGTCCCTTTGTGGTTCAAAAATTTGTGCTATCTCTTGAATTTCTTGTGCCTCAAAATGTTGTTTCCTTATAAAATGGTTGTGATCCAAATTTTTACTCTCTCTCTCTCTCTAAATATCAGTTTCAAAGGTGGGCCCAAGACTTTTCCAAGGCCCCCATTACTCAACTCTCTCTCTACATGCTTATAAAATTTTATGCTCTCTTCCAATAGGCCTCAATTTTATGCTCTCTCTCTCTCTCTTTAAAATTTTACTTTCTCTCTCTCTCTGAAATTTTACTCTCTCTCTCTAAAATTTTGCTCTCCCTTACGTGGATATTTGTATCCGGTTGCGGGCCATGCAGGAGGGTGACATGCCGGGCACGAGAGGCTGTTGCCCATTTTGCATTGCAACCTTTCATAAAATATCTTCCTATATTTTGCACGGCCCCATCTACTCTCTTTCTCTCTCTAAAATATCCACTACCATCGTTATCACACACTCTCTCTCTCTAGCAGAATGAAAATTCATTTTAATGGTGGTCCCATTGCCTTTTCCTTCTTTTCTTTGCCTATTCCAAGCTTTGTGTTCTTGACTAAATAAGTTCTCAACTCTCTCTCTCTAAACAATTTATCAACTCTCTCTCTCTCTAAACAAGTTTATCAAATCTCTCTCTCTATCTTTGTGGTCCTCAAGGATTTTTTTTTCCTTATCAAACTTTAAAGAAAGCATTTCAAATCTTGTGTAGATGGGCCCATTAAAAAATCTCTCTCTTTCTCTCTCTAAACATTATTGGTTGGCATCCTAAATGGCAATTAGAAACCCACCCTTAGAAAAATCAGAATATCACAGGCTTTCACTTATAGAAAAATGGGTGCGGTTTGTATAGAGCCGAGGCTCTAAAAAATCATAGTAGAACGCCCCTTGAAATAGTTTCAAAAAATGTGTTTTCAATGTTGGAAATCTTTGTAATAATAGCCTTAAAATATATTTTCGTATCTAATTATAAAATTTAAAGCTTAAAAAATAGTATATATCCAACAGATTTATGAAAACTTAAAAATTGACTGTAAAAAAATGCGTTACAAGATACACTATTTTTAGAACTTGAAATCTATTTTTTTCTCACATCCAACATATTGATGTTGAGATGATCAATTTGAGGATATTTAAGCATCAAAACAACATATTCCAGAAATTTTTGAGGTAGACTTCAATTTCATTGCTTAGAGCCTCAGCTTTATATAAAGTTATTCCTAAAAAAAAAAATAGGTATATGAGAGAGCAAAAATGATTATTGTTGATTGGGAGTTGTTTCCTAGGTAGTTTTGTGGGGTTCCATGACTCCCTCTTTCTCTCTCTACAACTTCCAATCCCCTCCTCTTTCTCTCTCTAAAAAAATCTCTCTCTCTCTCTCTAAAAAAAATGCCCCCATGGAGAGGAGAGTCCAAGGTAGGAGACAGTGGGCACAACCTAATCTTCACTAAACAAAGGGAGATTAGATTCCTATTGAACCTTTTCCTCCAATAGACTATCTGGAGGTCTCATCTCTGTCCAATCAGAGACCAACACGTGGGAAAATGCTCATCGATTGGTGACGAGTTGCAGAGAAAATTAAACATAATATGGGTTGTCATGCCTATGCTTTTGGGAAAGCTAAAAAAAAATAAAAATTATTAAGCAAAGTATAGATTATATAATGGAAATAAAATGAAAGTCAGTATTAAAAAATGAAAAAAAAACAAAGCAATGTGTGGATTATATAATGGAAATGAAAGCTAGCATTGCATATAAGCACTGGATGGGGGCTTGGGATTCGAGAATAGAGAGAGAGAGGGAGGTTCAGAGAGTTAGAGAGAGAGAAAGAGATAAATTTAGAGAGAGAATGAGATTTTAGAGAGAAAGAGTGGGGTAATTGTTAACTGGAACCAAGGAATGCATCATTGACGAGGGGGAGACATTCATAATGTGATTGAATGCAGGGCTTGTGAGAGAAGGAAATTGAAGGATGTGGGGTTGGGATTCATTGTTCCCACAAAATGGACAGATTTTAACTCATTTACTTCAAAGTTGGTGTAACTACTTGATGCATGTTTGTCTCCCCTAGAGAGAGAGAGAGATCATCAAATCTTTACTCCCAAACACTGTAGGATTACAGGACCCGGCTGCGGAACTAGGCCATGGACCGGTTCCACGTAACCCGGAACTAGATTGGGTAACTGGCTTGAGTCGGGCAGGTACCGGCTAGACAAAATATATCAAACAAAACACATGTAAATGGGGTTTAAAAAAGTAGTGAAAAAATATATTTTAAAAAATTAATTTATGATAAGGGGTATTTTAAAAATAATTCAAAAATAAGAAAAGATGTAAAAATGAGTATTAATGGCTAAAATACTTTATAATTTTTGTCAAAATAATAGAAAACATATAAAAACACATTACGTATGAATTTTATTTTTTATTTTTTTTATTTTTTGTGATTTTTTTCAAACTTAAAAACTTTGACCATCAAAACTTGGCTTAACTGGACCTGGCTATGGGCCGGTTCTAGGTAAATATGTCTGGATCCGTCTGACCCGGGCCGGTTTGTCTAACACTGTTCCCAAGGAGCATCTTGCAACTAGGTTAGGTTAGTGTTGAGAGAGAGGGGATCGAGCATTATACTCCTTTACTCTAAATATCAACAACTATCCATATCTGTAGAGAGAGAGATTTAACTCCTTACTTTCTAGAGAGAGAGAGAGAGAGGTGTCAACTTGCTTAGGTGAGAGAGAATTCATTCGATTCTTTTACTCCAGGCATCATCTACCAAAAGTATTAATATTTTACAACAAACACATACACATTTCATAAAGTTTGGGAGCACTCCTATATGTGAAAATTGCTTTTCAAATGGGACCACGATAAAGGATCGGATGGGGCTCCAAAATGGGAGTAGGAGAGCAATTAATTTGGAGGTCGACACAATGTCACAATTTTATGTTTTCGAATAGTTAAAATCGAGGTATTAAAAATTGTCGAGCTAACTCAGAGTCTCCCGATTTGGCTTGAAATTGAAAGGTGGGAGATTCTAATTTGAGAAACGCTCCTGGTATTATCAAGAATGGACAGAACACCTAGCCAGTAAGGGGTTCAGTGAGCCAAAATCGGTCAGACAGCCGAAGGAACAAGTTCAACCAAATTTTAAGAAACAAAAGAAATAGAGAGAATAATTTAAAATATGAAATATATTTTCTACCCAACTTTATTTAACCAGTTGAATCGGGGAAAATACTCAAACAAATCCATAAAAGAGGACAAAACCAGTCACGAATTACTTGCGTTTTTTTATTTTAGATCAAACTAACCAAAACATGGTATGAAGTTTTTAAATTTTTAGCTATCAAACTAGCATGGTGGGGCGAGCTGAAATTGTAAAGAAAGAGATTAAATGGAAAACGTTGCATTGCATTAGTGCATATCTGTAATTGAGAGGACAAAAAATGTTTGATAGAGCGAGAGGGCTTCTTTAAGAAATGAGTTCATAACAGCTGATAGGTATGAAACTGAACGAATTGATCAAAATGAATTAGTCCAACTGGTCAACACCAGCCACATATAAATTGGTTAACCAGCCACATATAAATTTTAACCAATTTTCGATGAAATCCCGTTTTTATTTTAGACCAAACCAACCAAAACACCTGTCTAAAGCTTTAGATATCAAATCCCCATGATGGGACAAGCTGAAATTGAAAGAAAGAGATTAAACAAAAAATATCACACTGGATTAGCGCTTATATGCGATTGTGGGGACGGAACGAAATCGTATCCGACAGAACAAAAATATCTTAGAGAGAGAAAGTGAGAGTGAGAGCATATGTTGAGAAAGAGAGAGAGAGATGTTGATTTAAAAAATCAGTTCATAATAACACATG